GTACGTGCTGGTGTCTACTGGGGCCCGAGCGCCTTGAAGTCTGCTACGTCACTACCCTTTAACTCCACTTCACCCGCCGAGCTCTCTCCCCATGGGAAGCCACTGTTGTGGGTTGTTCCGGACATCGAGATGACGCCGTCGCGAGTACCTGGCGGTACGCTTGACGCGCTGCTCGCTATCAATTACAAACGCCCCCCGCTGCGTTTGACAGGCGGTATGCGGTTGGACGCGCGTGCGCCGGGAGGGCGGGCACTGCAGGCGGAGGTATTGCTCGAGGAGGACGCCCTGCTTCGAGTATGCTGCTACTGTGGCTGCGTGGAGCGGGCAAATCATAGCACCCAGTTCGAGAGGTGCGGTGGGCGCGGCTACAACTCCCTGTACTGGTGCCTTGAGGTATGTTTTGCTCGCCGTTATCGGAGCGACGGGCTGTCTGACGAGTTTATAGTGCTCAGGCAGAACGATCCTTGGCCGTGCGCTGTTGTTGCTCGCTCGGAAGCTGTCATCGCGAACTCGCAGATGAAGATTTTGGTGAGATATTCACGCCGTGTTTGTTGTCTGTATGGTGAACTCTACATTCGTGTGTTATCGACTCAGAATTTCTGTGCTAAATCGGCGCACAAGTGTGCGAACGTTGGTGATTCTTACATCGAGAGCCAGAGGCATGCAGGTCAATTGATGTATGATCCGACAGCCGGAATGCGCTCGACCACACTCCCTTGCTAGAATGTATCCTCTGAATGCCGGCACTGAGGCGCACGATAGTCGAGACAAATGATAACCATTTGGCGCGATAACCATTTACGGTGTTACGATAATCATCCAGTGTTCTTTCTGTGCAACTCGAGTTCCCTAGGCCTGGGCGTCTCCTGCGGATATCAAATTGGGTTGTGGGCTGTTCTGCCTCACGTTGATTCGCGGCCACAGAGCCTGTTGCCGAAGGGAGCGCGTCTGTGTAGTATGACCACTATGTAGAACGGACGCAAGGGGTTGGAGCGGCTGACGCGCCCCGGCAACGCATTTCGAGCAGCCTGGCGTCTTTAAGTCCAAGCGGTGCAGCGTCTACAAGACGAGTGCCAAAAATAAAGAGAATCAAGTACACGAACGTACGCTCTTTCCTCGGAGATGGTCATCACGGCATTCGGGGGGGGGGGGGGGGGGTTTCTTG